GGAGGAAAAGGCAGGGGAATTAAAATCCACAGATACTCAGAGAGTAGCTAGAAACAGAAGGTCATACTTGGCAGGAGACCTTGTCTGAGGGTGGGTCTATAAACGAAAAAAAGTGTATTTTGACAAGAAACATTCAGAGAAGACACATGCTTAGGGGATTCCTTGGGAAATCACCAAAAAAGTCCATGGATTCACAGGAAAGTGAGGCAAGGATATGCCTGGAAAACTCTCCTGTCTTGTAGAGAGATCATTATCTTCTGAAAGAATTAATAAAGCCTGTGCTGGTTTTCTCTGGAGGACACAGCCTCCAGAGAAAGAGGTGGTAGAGCCCAGGTGCCCCAAGAGGTGCACTGTGTGACAACTCATGGCTTGGGCCACGGGGCCCAGAAACTCTGTTGTCCTGAAGGGGAAAGGCTGGGAGCAGAGAGGTCCCAAACACAGTGTGCTACAAACCATCAGGGGAGGCTCTCTGGGATCTGTGACCCCACACTCTTCCCACCTGGACAGCGTCACTTCATGGAAAATTATTCCTTCTGTCCCAAGTGATGCCACAGAAAGCATGAGCTTTTATAACGACATTACAAACACATGAACATATCTTTAATAGAGGGTTATACAAAAACATGAATTATCAAGAATGGAAGGTAAATATATTTACCTCGTATAGCAGAACAACTCAGAGAGAGCTCACAGCAATTCTCTGAGTTAAAAACACTACTCAGGGCTGCAAAATGGACAGGCTTCTGATGAGAACTCTTGTTCTGCTTTCTAACAAAACTTCAAGGTGGTATCAAAATTTCCAGTGACATCAAGAAGCTGGGGGTTGCTGTGGTATACAGGGATTTGGACCTTCTTTTCCACTGGAAGGCAATGAGACATCTGCCACTGAGTTCAGTGGGAGTAACACTGGAGGCTCTGGCAATGCCCTTGGGTATTCCTGACTGCCTGTCAGGAGCTTGGACTTCTGGTGCAGGTTTGCTTTCCAAATGTAAGAATTGTCTCACTCCCTTGGATAAATACAATTTGCAACTCACTTTATAGATGTGCTGGAGGTTTTGCAGCCCTTACAATCTGTCATATAAATACACATTCAAGTGTCAATGTGTGAAGGGGCTGCTTTAGAGGTCCTCTGGGTGAAAACGGGAATGGAATTTCTAGAGGAAATGCTATCAAAGATGAATAATTTGTCTACTTAGCCAGTTACTTTAGAAATAAGACGCTGATGGTAAGAGTCACTAGAAATCAACAGGGTTTTTTTCTCTTTTTTACCTGTACCTCAGAACTACAAGAGTTGGGAGTTTCAGTAGGAGAATTTGCTGAAAACAAACTGAAATTAAGCCTTAGTCAGATCCAAGTAAGTCAACATCAGCCTCCTTGTACCTCCAAAGCTTATCAACTTCAATGGCAATTTTGGGTATGCATGGAAAGCGGCCTCAAGTAGCTATACAAAAAGGGAATAATAATGTTATTTCTGAGGTAATTTGTGTGACCACTGACATTATGCTGTTGTTGATCACAATTTCTTTTTTATGTTTCTCATCTCCCTTTGCCCTTCACCCTCTGAAAGGCCAGCTCTTCTTCCTGTATGCTGCTTCATTCAAAAAGCCAACTGGAAAGGTATGTAGTGCCTAAGGTGAGTGCCAGTGGTTTAGATTCCACCTTTGACAGTGGTTGTTTAACTCTCTTCTCCTTTGTCACGCCAGTTGTGCACTGCTCAAGTTCTCTCCTTTTTTAGATGAGAGAATTTATGTAGCCCATAAAAATTTACTGGAAAGAGGACGGCTACCCCCTTTAATGCCTAATCTGGCACCCTTTACTTATGCAAATTTAATCAGTGGACAAATGCTCTGGTCACAGCAGCTGCACTAATACAAACAACATCAAAGACTTTGCCAAAGTTGCTCTGAAACAACTCTGGGATCGCTGAAATGCAAAATTTGGCCTCTGGCTTCACATTAACAGCCATTCACTCACTTGAGTAAGACTTCCAGAACTGGGTCCTTTTCCTCCCAAATTAGAGCCAACCACATACCTAACCTGGGAACAGCCAAGCAGAGCCAGCTGAGAGGGCAGAGCACAGTCAATCCTAACAGATTACAATAAGAAATGTATCACGCTGCCTGCTGTCAGGTGTAATTTATATCATAGCAGAGGGGTGACTGCAGAGCAGGTATGGGCAGGAACTGGTCATATCTATACTTGCTCCTGCTGGGCCCGATCTGGCCAGCTGCTGGGAGCTCTTCCCTCCCACTGAAGTCAATGTGGACTGAGTTTGTTCAGGACCAAACAGGACTGGACCTCCTCAAAACACTAAGGAAATATAAACACAACTTGACTTTTTCTGTTTCCCATCAGCATGTGGTGTTTCTGTGCATGCACACCCAGGCTGTATTTATACACATGCTCACAGTCTAAACATCCATGTACATTATCAGCTAAAAAGCCTACAAGCTAAAAGCCTATTTAGGATTTGGGAGCACTGAGAAAGCAATAGGGATTGTAACACAAATAAACAGGAAGTTTATTCCCACAGCTTTCAATTTCAGTGAGCCCAAACTATTTTATGTGACTTCACTAAGATTTAGCAAAGCACTTCAGCATATGCTTACATCTTCTGCTGAAATATGATCTACAAATTTGTGTGACTTCTTGGATTTGAAGTTTTTAAACTCATGCTCAACTCAGGAGTTTGATGTGCTGTCCAAAATAAAGCAGAAAGCTCTGCAAGTGGATGAGCATGGCCATGCCTCTGGATGTGGCCATGCATGTTACCTCTGAGCACAAGCTAACAGCGCCCTGGCATTATTTCCAGATGTTTTGCTCAGAAAAGCTACCTCCTCCTTCCTGCACCTGTGAGAGACCCAGGAGTCCTCTCCCAGGCAGATCACTGCAAGGACAGTCTGTGCCATATGGCAGATACACAACAGGGCAGGGAAGCACCATCAGGAGCTCCAACCATTCCCACTGGAATAACTGCAAGTACTCTGCCTTAACCAGGAATGAGAGCAGGCCAGACTCTGGGGGGTAACAACCAAGTCTATTACGCAGTGCCGAAGAAGAACAAATAATATGTAAATATATATAAAAATACATATAAAAAAGGAAAATATAATAAATTATGGTGCAGCCTTCATCCGGCTTCATAATGTATGTAGCAATATGTCCTACTTGGGATGCTGGTGAAGGACACATCCTGGCTTCATCCTGGAAGCTCTTACTTCAGTGAGAGCTGAAGTTTGAGCAGCTAAAAAAGCCTTCAAGCCTTATGAGATAACACAGCAATGCAAACAAAAGACAGCACACAGCAAAATATCGGGCAGCATGTGAGCTCTAGTCAGTCACAGTTTTGTACTTTCAGTTTAAACAAAGTACAAAATCTGAAGAAATATATGATTCTGTTATTTATCAAACAGGAAAAAAAAAATTGGTTCAGTACTCTATTCTCTTGAAACAAAATCTGTGAATTTATGTATATTCTTCCAAAGCTTCCGTAACTGAAGCTTTTATTAAGTAAGTTTGATGTGGGGCATATTTTAAACATAGTGTCAGCAGCGATATTTTAAAACGTGGAAACAGATGTGCCACTCTATTACAACTGCTGAATCTTCTCTGTATTTTTTAATACTATGAAGCATTTGCCTGTTTCTCCGTTACAATCTCTCCCCACTGAACAGATTTCTTCTCTATGATTAAAATAGTACCACACAGACCTCATTAAACAAACTGTCCAGAAAAATCACATTATTTTGTTCTGCCAATAAAATACAGGTATTCTAATAATTGGGCTTTTTTTCCATAGAGAATTTCAGCAGCTCCCTTTCCTTGAAATGAAATCACAGCCATATGCTTTATGACATCAGAGGCGTTTCAAGGTGTCTCCATAAATGTCATTTATTGCTTGGGAACCTGCCAAATCTGCAAAAACCCTTAGTTCTTCTAAAGGAAAAATCTTCAAATGAAACTATAGCTTTACATTGGTTGTCATACCAAAAAAAAAATAAAAATTAAAAATCTATCACTTACAGAATTCTGGCCATGCAGGACAAAACCTCTGGCAACCAAACCTGCTGACCTGGGCTTTGGTTTGGTTTGGAGTCAACAGTGTGCTGGGCACCCTGACACTGCACATTCCCACCTGAGTATGTATGAGGCACTCTCTGAATTGTCTCAGTGACAAAAACATGCACTGGTTTAGTGACCATAACTGAATCAAAATCAGGTACATCTTAATATACTGCTCCAATGAATGTTCTTTAACCCTTAACAAGGTCACAGGCCTGACCCTGCCCTATCCCTCATGGTGCCCAGTGCCCTGCAGGACTGGGAGCCAGGCAAACAACAGACACTATGTCATACACAAACATCATCTCATGCCACATCTATTCATAATTTGGCATGTCTGGAGTATACTCTGAGACAATACTGGCCAGATCCATATAAATCTCTCCAGACATGTCACTGACCTGCCCAGCACAAAGCAGCCACCTTCGAGCACGCAAGGATTCAACCCAGCCTGTCCAGAGAGGGTCAGCCAGCCCCTGCCCAAAGGAACAACTGCTGACACAGAGGCACACAGCTCCCAGTCAGGTCACGATTTGGACTGGCCCACAGAAGCATCCATTAGTCCCAGGGTAGCAGAACCATTCTGCTTTCTTAAGGAATTAAAAACTAGGTTTTTTCCCCTTACATCTGAAAGAAAGAAGTTGCCTGGTGCAGTTGGAAATAATCTAGGGCAGCACACCAACAGGTGCTTCAAACGTATCAGCACAGCGCAGGAGATGTTGAGAGAGAAAATGAATAGACTCTCTAAATAATACATAAATTTTACAGGCTTTTTTTTTTCCTGCAGAACCCCAGTGAAGTTACTGTATAAATCGGAACCTGAATTATTCATAAGCGGTGAATATATAATAAATCGTCCTTCGCACTGCAATATCCCTCACAGGTACCTGCCTCCTTCCACGCAGTGAACAGTGAGCCTGCAAACACCAGGGTCCTACCTGGAGTCTGGGTACTTGGTCAGGGTAGCCAGGCTGCTGGTGTACATGTGTCCTCCTACATCGATGTGCACGGGGGCGTTCGACTTGGTGAGTTGAGCTGGGAGAGGAATTCCTTGAGCAGCCAGAGGAGAAACCGGGGACCGTGTTAGAGACAGACGGGACATGCTTCTTCCCTCCTGCGGCGGGGAGGCAAAAAAGAACAGTTTCTCTTAAATGTAGCAGTGTGTTACCTTTCTTTCCATCTGTGATCACAGATCTAATCAGATCATTTTTGCATCTGCCTGATCACATATTCAGCTAACAAATTATTGCCACCACTGTAATTAAGTGTATTTGCATCGTTTTCTCCTAAGTACCAGAGGGGAAGGGAAAGATGCTTATTAGCAATAAGAAATCAAGAAAAAAAAAATTTTCAAGGTGTCAGCCTCAAGGGGCATAAAACAAACTGCAAAATTCTAATTAAAGGTCGCGGGCTTATGTGTTAGATGTGAAATACCCCCTGACAAACGAATAACCAATTTGTGAATTGGGATTCAGGGGGTTTTTGCAAGTTTGTCGCAGTAACAAGACACCTCTAAATTAGTGACTTCCTCAGTACCTAAGGCATTTAGTTTATACATGTAGTAAATTTCACATCAAACTAAGATCAATTTTCTGGTTTATTTTCAATAATTGTGAAATAAATGGATAGTTTTCAGTTAAGCCTTAATATCAGACCTAAACAACTAATAAGCTTTCAAACTGAAAGAATTAATGCCTGGAAGCAGCGAAAACAGAAAGATATATAAACTGACCCACCTTTTCATGACAAGATACACTAGAAAGTACTATACAATGCAGCATGTGAAATTATAAATTCAACAATACACCTAATGTTTCCTGCCCTAAAAATACTGGAAAATTAGTGAAATTACTGAATTGAGTCCCAAAATCTTCAGCAAAATCAAATCCAAAAATACTGAAATGTCTTAAAAATGAACAGGACAACCATAGCAAAAGAAAATTCCTCAATTCTCTTCTGTGAGAAAAGCACAGCTTATTCTGCATGAAGTGTGTGTCTCAAAGCTGATTTCAGTTCAATCGGTGCAGACGGCACATGTCAAATGGAAAAAAACCCTTTCAGAAAAGTTTAGGAAAATGTCCATCCATTCTCCCCCTTATGGGGAAAGCAACATATGCAAAACATTATAGTTGAAGACATTTCTGAATATAATCTAATTTTCTTGGTATTTTGTAATTCAAGCATGCTACCAAGCACCCAGGCTCTTCCTTACATCTGACAAGCACTTTACATGCAGCACTGCAAAGTGAATTCCCATTTCTCCCACATTACTTTGACAATGTTTCTTAGAAATCTGAAGCTGGTCTCGCCTTTCTCTTAGCAGTATTTTGCCTGGCTATGCCACTCGATGAACACACAATTAGCAACATTCTTTGCAAAACAATTTCCAAGCTCTGGAGAAAAATCATAATACATCTGAACGGCTTCACAAAGTCATCACAACATCTCCATTTACTGCATTTCATCTTGGTTAGCTCCTAAGAATTTCTTGCATCTACAGCACAGAAATACATCACCCCATTATGAATCCACATCGTTTTCTCTTCGGAGGCTGGACGGACATCTGCACTGAACACGACGCAAGTACCAACTCTGTCCTAGGACTTCTGTGTCAGCCGATGCGAAATTGGGCATTAACATTTTTACTACAGCACCACCTTCAAGGAAAGTGACTGAATCCTTTCATGACTGAAGACGTTGCTTTCTTGTTTCCCACAAGAGCCTGTTGTGGCCAATCTTCAGTAAATATGTCATTTAGCATAAATAAAAGAACTAAGTTTTAAAAACAACTTAGTCTGTAAGTACCTACAGTATTCTAGCGACGTGTTTACTAATCTGTGGGTGCCTCATCTGTCTGCCAACACAGACAAAGGTTGCTGGTTTTTTTTCTTACCAAAGAGCACTGTAAACTCATGTTCAGTCTCTACTCCTTCACTTAAATGAAAGGGTCAGAAGATCCAGGCTGAATGTCAACCCTGTCTTTGTTCAGACCTCAACCATTATCACTAATGATAAAGGTACAGACTTCGCATGGCACAGGGCTGCCTTAGAAATAAATCTCATGCAGTTTCACAAAACAAGAGTCTAATTAGGGCTCATCTGCACCCCTTGTTACAATTTCCAAATGAAATCAAAGGACTTCCAGTCCTCTGTAAACGTGTCTTACATTTAACCATTTGTCTTGAAATACAGACTTCAATTTTAAAATATGCACAGATAGCTAAAGATCAAGTGATATGAATCTATTTGTGCATATTTAAACACTGCTGCTATCTTAGGATTTTGTTTAATGTTAGTATACCAGTAAATTCCTTGATCTGTAAAGACTGAGATTCTCAGTGAGGCCATACTCACACAGTAGATATTTAATTTATACTATTCACTGGAGGGACCTTTTGAACAATCCTCTGCTTTTGGCATTTCTCAGCTAGAGCATGTGTTGAAAAAACACTTAATTATAGAAAATCACTGGAAAGCTAAAATAGTTCTCAAACTTTTATGGTTTTTCATACTTATTGAGGGTGCCACTGGCTTTTTGGGGGAGAGGAGGAAAAGGGGAATTAAAACACTGGCTTTTCCCCTGGTTGGAGAGGATTCGTACTAAAAAAATGAATCCTAGATTTTTATTAAAGTTGTGGAATTCAATCATTTCCGTATGAGCAAATTATCAAGGGGCACAATTGCTAAGCACTACAGAAAGGGCACTGAGAACACTCCTATTGCTCCAAAAAAAAATATAAATACCCCGTATTTCTTAAGGTACCGTAACCCTATTTCTAATGACTCCTTCCTCTTCTTAATGTAAAATGCAGCTAAAATTCATCACACTGAGTAATGTACTTATTTTATGCACAAAGCAAAATCCTAAATGTATTTATCCAGAGAAAGTCTTTATGCACATATTTTCTAATATGGATGTGAAAATTAAAACCTTAAGGGTAAATATCGCAGAAACACTAACAAACTTCATTTATTAAACCATGTAAAATAATCCTTGCTCTTTAGTTGCCTACAACAGGATACAGCACCCCAACTAGTGGCACAGGCAATAACCCTGCTCTAATAAGTAACACAGGAACCTGCTGAAGGCAAAATCAATAGAGCCTGATTCCCAAATTATGTGAATATTTAGTTTTTCAAACATTACACACCAAGATCTTTCAGAGCCAGCTTATCTTTTTCTGCCTTTCTAAGCTAACTGCATAAGTACTGCTTGTAAAAACTATTTGCCCATGCAAAGTGAAATAATCACAATGCCATGCTCATTTACACACAAAATGATTTTGTGTCCCATTGTGCTCACAGTTGTTCAGCTCTCTAGGGGTGATTAAACTAGCTATGCTGCTACAGCTTGAGATGATTTCACTGAATCGTTTCTCCATGAAGTTGCTTCTTTGCTAAGCTGTTATTTTAACCATAAAAGGTAAACAGAAGGCAGTTGTAAGAGCTCCATTCAGCTCCGTGCCCAGGGCTATAACCCTAGGGCAGAGAATGCTGAAAGACTGCAGAATTTTCCAGGGTGTTGCCTTTCTTGCTCTAAAGCCTTCAGGAATACTGTTCATTTAATACACACTCTAGATGATACATTTCAGATCCTACTAAAAGAAAGACTTCAAAAGTGTAAGAACTTTTGGGCGGATGAAGCTTTCCCACCTCTGCACATAGCTTGGGGCCATGGTAACCAATACTGCTGTTGATGTTGGGAAAATACAGGAGAAATAAACTGCACAGAGCAGAGCAGACAGATAGGGACAAGGGAGGTGAAAGGTTGCAGGAAAGAAACAGGCAGCAGACTGGAAGGGGGAACGAGAAAAAAGGGAAAAGAATAAAAAAGGAGGCGGCTCTGAAGGAGGGACAAAGTTAAATCAAGGAGCAGGCACTTAAAAGACTACAGATGGGAAGCAAGACTAATTAAGGATGTAAAAGCGCTTTGTTTCTAAAGTTTATTGTTGCCAGGATAAAAATTAATTGAAACTAATGCTGTTATTCACTCGTGCAGTTTAATTCCTTCATGCACATTTAAGACGTGAAATGAAAGCGGCAGGTTTACGGACCTGCCATGGAGCTGCTCTCCCGGGGAGCCGGGGCGGGGGCGGGTCGGGCCGCAGGACCCGGGCCCGGCTGCACCCTCGGGGAAGCCGCTCTCCCTCCCCAGGGACCTGCATTTCTGTACCAGCGGACCCACTAGGGGTAAAACCACCCAGCGCAGCCCCCCGAGCGCCCCATCCCCGGCACTGCGGGCCACAAGTTCCCCCGGCGCTCCCGTGACTCCAGGGCAGCGTCTGCGTCCCCAGCGCCGCCGGAGGGGCACAGCCACAGACTGGGCAATTACCTTTGTCTGCCTAAACAGGGCCGGCGACCGCTCGGGTCTGCCTGCACAGCCACTCCGACACAACTTGCCTACGCCGTGCTCCGAGCCCAAAGACAAAGCGGGCCGGGGGGGCTGCAAACCTTGGGCTCGGGGGCTCCAAAATTAAAAGTCCGTAAACATTTGCACACACCTCCACGCTGCTTCACTGGACGCTGGACCGAGTGACAGAGGAGATCGTGCCCAAAACTTTTACGGCGGGGGGGGGGGAGGAATGGGGGGAAGGGAGCTCCCTCTCGAGATCTGGTTGCCACCCCCCCCAAAAAAAAAAAAGAGGCGAAAAAATAGAAAAAGGGGGGAAAAAAAAGGAAAAAAAAAAAAAGGAAAGGCTTTCTCCTTCCTCCCCCTTTTGCCCCCCCGCAACCCGCCTCTCTCGGGCAGTCTCCAGTCTATTTAGTGCAAGTTTCACGTCACCCAAATGCCTTTCCCTGCTGATGGTCAGGGAAATCACCAGCGAGCAACGCACCCGGTCACTCAACTTCTGCCTTTTTCTTTTGAACACACTGTATGCCCAAAGGTAAAATTCAACCAAAAAAAAAAAAAAAGGCACAACATGGCGTCCTTTACTTATTCCCACATAACAAGAAAGGAGATGTCTTAGATGAATGCAAGAAAAAAAAGTCAACCCCGAATCCCCGATCCTGCACATTTTCCGCGCAGCCAATGGTGGTGAGCATTAGCCAGGCTAATGTATTAATTTTGCAGAAGTGTGCCACATCGCATGCAGGAGCAGGAATGCAAACTATAGCCTAGAGTGGTTTGAAGTCTACCCCAAACCAAGCCTTCCACTCTCACTGGCGCCAGAGTTTCATTCACAGCCCGCCCGTGTTTTCCATACGCGGCGCTCCCCCATTGTCGCCCGCCTTCCCTTTGTGCCGAGCCGCCCCGCCGCCAGCCCCAGCGCCCCGGCCCGCGCACCCCCGCGCCGCGCTGCCCTCCCGCCGCCCGACCCCGCTCCGCGTGTACCATGCGGGAGCGCGGAGCGAGCCGCGCTGCCTCCGCCGCGCCGGGGCTGGGCCGTCTTCAGAGCCGGGGCCGGGGGGGCAGCGGGAGCGCGGGCACCCCGGGCCGCGGGGCTCCGCCGGCGCTGCCCATGCTGGAGCGGAGCAAAACAAAACATACACACGCACGCACACACACACACGCGCGCACACACACACACGCACACACGCGGCGCTAGCAAAGCGGGGCGGCCGCAAACGGGTCCTGTAGCTTTAAAAAAACACCCCTCCGCCCGCTCTTGCTCCCCGGAGCCGGCAGCCGAGTGAGTTTGAAGAGGCACTTTCCAAAAAAAAAAAAAAAAAAAAAAAAAAGGCAGGAGCAGGCGCGAGCCGCCGCGCGGTGCGGACGCGATGCGCTGCCATGCGATGCGATGCGATGCGATGCGCGGCGGGCGCGCACGGCGCGCTCCTGGCCCCGCACGGGCGGGCAGGCGGGCGGCCGCGGGAGCCGCTGCTGCGTTCCTTACCTTGAGCACAGAAGATATCTGCCAGCCCCCCTTTGGCTTTGGGCTCTGCCGGGGCTGTGTGTGGACGGGCTCAGCTTTTTTTTGCTTTTATTACTATCTTTGCTCCGCAGATCCTGCTGTGATTATTATTATTTTTTTTAAAAAAGCTTCTCCGTCTCCTCTCTCTCCCCGTTTTTGCTGCTTCTTTTTCTATTTATTTTGTGCGTGTGTGTGGATGTGTGTGTGTGTGTGTGTGTGTGAGGGGGGAAAAAAAGCCTTTAAATGAAACTGCCGAGGCTGTTATGAGAAGAAAGGCAATAATCCCGTCTCTAAATAACAGAGGGAAGGGAGAAGAGGAGGAAAAAAAGCGAATTCTTGCTCAGGGCTTTGCAAACGCCTGCAGGGCAGAGGATTAGGCTACAATTAGCTCAGCCCTTTGCTCTCGCCCTAGCTAATTTTGCGATGAAAATTGGATATTTTTCCCTCCTTTTGGTGAAGGTCTGCAGATTTATTCCCCCACCCCCCACCCCCAAGAATAAAATAAAATACAGCCCTTGAAAATGAAATAAGGCTGGGAAGGCGGCCGGCTCCCCAGCCCGCGCCCCCGGCGCCGCCGCCCGCAGAGCCCCTCCGCGCGGCCGGGGCGGGAGCCCTGCGCTGCCCCGCGGAGCCCCGCGCAGCCCGGCCCGGCCCGGGGATAACGGTTCGGTGTTGGGGAGGATCAGGCCACTGTCACGTCCTTCAACAGACTTACTGAAAAGAAGAAGGAGGAAAAGAGGGGGGGAAGGGGGGGGGAAAAAGCTGATTTTAATCATTGTCATTTGGTCTGATGTAATATTTCCCCAGGCATTTTCAACTAGGCATAAATTTTCAGCTCCCAAATAAGTAACACAGGGCACGTTTCTCACATCTCTTGACTCCTCTGTTACAATTAGGGTAGCACCCACTCTGCACTTGTTGATAAACTAGATCAAGTTCAAAAATAAATAATAAAAAAATGGCCCCGGCCCCCCCCTCCCCCGCAGCACCCAGCGCCGCCGAGGTGCGGCCGGGGGGCCTCGGGGGCGGCGAGGGGGGCCGGGGGGGGCCCGCAATTATTCCCATCCATCCATCCCGGCTGCCTCCCCCTCCCTTTCACCCTTTGCTAATGTCTCGCATTGTAAACGCCAAATTTCCTGTAGGCCATTAAAACCAAATGACGTCTATCGACATGCATTGTGCTATTGCGGAGCGCCCTGGCAGCCCGCCCCCGGCCAAAAGCGCCATTTCAATTAGAACGCGCGGCGCGATGGCGCGGCGCTCCGCGGGCGGCTCCGCGGGCGCGCAGCGCGCCCGCCCCACGTGCCGGGGGGGGCCGGGCGGGGGGGATCGGCAGGGGAAAAAATAATAATAAAAAAAAATTAATAAAAAAAAAAAAAGGCAAAGCCCTCCCTCAACTTTCAGCCGGGGGCGCGGGGCTGCCGCTGCCCGCGGGGGGATGCGCGTCCCCGCCCCGTGCGGGTCCCCGCGCAGTGCGGGGGGGGCGCGGGGCGCGCGCGGCCCCGGGGCGGGCGGGGGAGCGGCCCCGGCGGGTCCGCGCTCGCGGAGCGGGGCCGCGCACGGGGCCGCAGCGCCCACTAGCGCCGCGCGCGCTCCCGTTACGCAACCGCGCGGCCCCGCGGGCCCGGCCCGGAACGGCCGCGCTCCCCCCGCGCGTCCCCCGGAGCACTCGGGAGGGACGGTGGCGGGCGGGACCCCCCCAAACTGAGGTTTTTTGGTGTGTTTTGCTTTTTTTATTTTTTTTTTAATTTTATTTTAAAGTTCTCTTCCGTGGCAGGAATAAACAGAAACTTTTCTCCTAAGGGGAGCTTTTTTTTTAAATTTTTTTTTTTCTAGAGTACAAACTACAGGAGAAGAGGGAAATTTTCTCATTAAAGTTACATCCCTGCAGTTAGTTCAATTACTTGATATATGCAGAAGATGTTGTAAATTTAAAGATTTAAATAGCTTACAAAGATGCCGGAGGCTCCATCAGTTAATTTCCTTAATTTATGGATTTTTAGCTGAGCTTCTGAAATGAAAAGGAGAATGAGAACTAGGTCAGCAGAGAGATTTGCATCCAGAACAGACTAAAATTTGTTTTCCTTGACCATCCCATCAGCCCAGGTGTGCTCGTTGTGGGGGTCCCCGTCCCACCGCCGACCTCCGGGCTGGGACTCCGTGTTTGCCTGTGCGAGCACGGCACAGAGGGGTGGATTTCGTTCTAAAATAACCTCCCAACACAAGCGTGTCCCCAGCCAACTGCTTCACCTGATGGTTGGACAAGGCTGTAGCCCAAGTACTCTCATTTCCTCACCACTCTGGTCAACAAGTGGATACGATACGGGGAGGACAAACTCCACTGAGACTCAGTGACCTGTCGTGCAGCCCGAGTTCCACTCAGCTTTTCCGTAGGGGTGCGGGCAGATTATTTGGGATGACTTGGCATCGTAATTTTTACTTCCTCTGTGAATTACTGACTGCTAAATGAAAAATAAATATGAGAATCTCGAACAGCAATCAGAGCGTTGTAAAAATAGGACGCTTCTGCACTGAGGCACAGTAAAGAGGAAGGAGAAGACCTAAAAATACTGCACTTGAACGAAAAGTAGAAACTGTGATCTGACTCATCCCAACACATCTGTGACAGGTACTATTTAATTGTGTCGCATGGAAATGGGATGCACGGATAATAAAGATTGGGTTGGTTTGTTTGCTTGTAGATCAAAGCAAAGACACAGTAGCACTTGGGATGAAAAAGCCTGAGCATGGTACGTAACTTCTGCGGGATTGTTTTTACCTTATCTGAGAAGAGGACAATGTACTCGAGAGCTTTGAGTTTTTTCTTGCCTGTATTAATGTTGAGGGTAATAAAGGTACGTGTTACAGCTCTATATGCACGCTCTCGTTTCTTTCTTCTCACTCCAATGTGTGAGTGCCTTTCTGTTGTGTTTCAATATGTATGAATATATACATATGAATTAATACTTAAAAGATTGATATAAACTAAACAGTTTTAGGAAGCAACATTGCAGTATGATTAGTATTGGTGCTCATGATTTAACATTTCTTTTCCCACTAGATGAAGTTTCTAAGATTTGCAAGGTACGTGTCAAGGACGGGTATATAAATGGATTTTTATTTATTCACAACTCCAAGACTAATTGCTTCTCTTTGCCTGAAGGCCAAGAGATTGGTTTTAATATGACACTTCAAAAGTATTCATAGAACTACAGAGATACTAAGTGTCATTGTTTAAGAGAGAAATCTCGCTATGCTACTTGTGACCCTGAAAATAAAATCTTCCAGCGCATTTTGAATCCTAATGTTGTTTTTCAGAGTTTCACTTAAAACACAACTATTACGAAGTGTACAAAGAAAAATATTAAATAGCATGTAGTGAACAAAAAAGAAGAAATACTGTTAGAACTGAATATAACTTATTTTCTCAACAACTCTATTATCCTCCCTATAAAGCAAAACAAAATTTGTAACAGAAGATTCCTGAGCTCAGTTACAGGATATTATAATTAGAAATGATAAGTTGTAACTTATCATAGGTGTTTAAGAGTTCTTGGCCAGATGCCCAGCATGTGTTTATTATGATACTAAATACTTCAAAATAAATACTTTGGATTTCTTTCTTACCAGCAGTTCTTTGTATTCTGTGCAGATGCTTTAAGATGGAATTGGACAGAATCTTTCTATAATCTGTTTTTATACCTAATTATTCTATAGTTTACTTTCAGTTTTTTCAATAAATGTGTAAAATATTTGTTGATGCACTTCAGACAGGGTCAAAGAGAAGCCCATAAAAACATCCAGTTCATTTTTCTCCACTTATTTTGTTTTCCAAAAATAACTAATTGTGTGTGTTTTACAGGACAGAATATTGCTAGATTGTGAAGATGTGCTGATTTGAAGAAATATAAATTTTCTATCGAAAAGATGATCCAATATATTTTGCAGTGTGTGAAAGAAAGAATCATGAATTGAAAAATAATGTCAACTCCTTCTGTTGTGTGAGTTAGAGTAACAACAGCTTCCAGTCGGTGTTGTTCTTGAAGGCCCTGTATAACTTTGTGGTGATAGACTTCATCCTGTCCTAATCCTTACTCTTTTCCTTATGTTATGTGTCTTATCATGAGGTTTAAACCTAACTTCAGGACTTCTTATGTTACATATCTTAACCCGAGGCTTCCTGGTGATGATATCAACATTCCCATCGACTGCAGTAAGTGCAGGAAGAAAACCATGGACTGCCTGATCCCCTCTAAAACCCACAGTGCTCTACTGGGCATTTCAAGATAAAGCAGTAAGTAAGTAAGAGAGAAAACAAATAATTTCATTAAATGTTTAAAGCAGATAAATGAGAATTAGAGGGTTGTTCCTTTAAAACGAAAGAATCGAGGTCTGTATGTAGATTAATACTCTTCCCAGTCACAGCGAAGACACCACTGTGGTACAGATGGACTTTTGTCTTGGGAGAGAAGATCTGAGTAAGAAATTGGGGCTTCAAAAGTAGCTGTTGGACTCTGGGGCACCTTCAGTCAGCAAAGCCTATGTGACTTTTTTCCTTCAGTGAGTTTTCATGGGTGTGACTGGGTTTAGCTCTGTCTCCAAGACCGGAGAGGCACCAGGGAGAAACACATCTGAGTGCAGAGCAGGCAGCCGTGGATCCTGTGACTGGCACCATCCCTTCTGACACTGGGAATGAGAGAGAAGCAGGAGGTGTGATGTTACAAAGGCACTGAGCCGCCAGAAAGGTCTGTGAGAAACCTGAAAATCTTAAGCATCTTGAAATCCCAACACCTGCTACAGTCAGTTGACATATGAGCAATAATAAAAAGGAAAAATTGAGGACATCTCCCATTGAAGCAAGTTTTCAAGCCAGTTGCAGTGCCAATCATTCTGGAACAGGAACTCGACCCAGGGTTTGCTAATTAAGTCAAATAATTGTTTGGCATTTGTAGGCAGATAAGGGGTTTCTTGAGAGCAGTAAGCATGACCATGCAAAGAACAAAATCTGATCATTAGGAAATCACCAAGTCTTGTCAGTCTTTTCCATTGAATGCTCTTCTGTTCTTTTCAAGAAACAGCTTGCTGCTGAGTAAGTTTACAAACCATTACTTTATTGACTAAATACAGATGGACTGCTTTTAAAACTATCCATTATCCAGCGCCTAACTCGTGACAACAGTGTGATACAAAGAAATAATCTATCCTGGAATGCCAAGATGAAATAACTTGTCAGGAAATACAGTATAGGAAAGGTTTGCTTGTCTCTTCTGCTTCCAACTGTTATAAGCCAAAAATAGCTTCCAAAATGAAATTTACTTAATCGAGATGTCCCACATTAGTGTTCAGCATGGTGTTTCTCAGTTTTATACATTTTGTTGAGTGCTCTCCCTCCTCTTCCTAAGCAGGTGATAAAACTGAGGGGTGTATTTTTAACC